GGACTACCTGTATTCAAAACCAATGAGACTGATCCGAAGGCATTGGCGTAACTGAAATGGCCTAAATTAAAAATCCATTCTGAATTAAACTGACACCTTCACTTCTACTGTTCTAAAGAGACAATCAGCCTTTCTGTAAATTTTACTTGTAACAAAAAGAGAACAAGTGTCAGGATTTCTAGCTTGGATGAGGAATGTTTGTTGACGGTGTCTGCTAAGAATGTTTACTCAGGAGGGTGGAGCCAAGACGGTGGCTTAGTCATGGGCACCATAATGTCCGTCTGCACTAAAGACCCAGAAAACTAAGTGAAACAGAAGCAGATAACAATCCGGGAACCCTGAACATGAAAAAAGAAAGTCTAAGAACCGAATCAAAACACCTACTCAAGAAATAAGGAAGGCAGCGAAAGAGGAGGAGTAACACGGAACGGAGGAGCTCAGCCAGCCACCCAGGCCTGCCACAGCTAATGTAGGACAAAGCCAGCAGCAACCTCGGGTGAAGAAGACAGCAAGGGGAACTTCACGACTTTCCCAAAAGAGTCAGAGAACCTCTACAGACACACAAGGAAAGGCAGAGACAGGGAGGGTGCCAGGAGCTTTGGCCCTGGATCTCAGAGGTGAGCGGCTCTCACAAGGTGGTGAATCCGTGGAGTGTGGACGGGACCTCTCCCACCCAACCTGTCCCAGGGCGGCACCCCCTCCTCGCACTCCAGAGAGGAACAGGTCCTGCTTGTTGGCTTCAGCGGACGCGAGGTGTCCTGGCACCGAGTGTTCTAGCCAGAGAAATGCACTTCCGCTTAACCCATCCTCCTGATCAGAGGCAGCAGAGGGTCCCATAGGCTGACTACCTCACCTGACTGGGAGACCATAAGGTGAGTTTATTCTTTTCACCCCTCCCCACCAAACCGAGGCCACTACTCCCTCTTGTCTACCCGATGAGTGAGACTAGGAATGCCACCGTGCCTGTGCCCACCTGCCACCTACACACCCCCCTCCAGGGCCGGGGGGAGGGCAGCAGCAGTGGGACAGCAAGAGAGCTCTAGTCTGGCACGGTGAAGAGACATGAGAGGTGTAGAATAAGTGGGAGGCCCCCGGCGCCCCCCCGTT